TATAATGATGATGTTATAATGACATGGCATCGTTAAAATAAGAAATGTGCTTGCAGTCGGTTCTGACATTACCAACTCCAACATAATCTCTTGAATTCATTTTGTAGTACCAGATGACATTGCAACTAATACGGAATACCCGGTTGTTATTGTCACCATTACCACAAGTATAATATATGTTTATATCAAAATAATAATTATTACTTGTTCACTTTCATTCAAGTGCCTAACACTGTGGAGACTTGGGAATGGGCGTTTCAATTATTCCTATAACCTTCATTGTGATTCGAGCAATCGGCACCTTTGCACGTTGGCAAGCATGAACTGTTACCAAGTCAGGAAAGATGCATTATTCCTAAACTCGCCCGTCCAGGTTAGTGTACATAATTGACGACGAGCAGACTGGCCGTTTACCACCGCCAGTCCTCCGCCAATCGGTCAGCACATGTTGGCCGAAAGAGAGCAGACACATGCCAGACGTCACACCCTTTTTTCAGCCCAGCTATGAGGACCGACATTGCACCGAGGCCTTGACTGGAGGTACCGGAAATAGATCATAACAAGGCGGCTCTTTGCAGAGTGCAGAGTGTAGCAGAAACGATTTTACGATAGAATCATTTTTCCGCTTCAATCCAATAAAATGTTCTTTCCTACCGACTTAGCGGTGTCAGTTGATTTTGCCTGCATGTAGACGTAGGCCATAAAATTCGCCGTAAAAATGTGTCATACACCAGTCCGCCCGCAGTCCTGACTCATGCAGGACTTGAACTCACACATTCTAGCGGTTGCCAGGTTTATGGCCTGTCATTTGTGCCATTCGCACATCTCGCGGGCCTCAATCCCTACTCCCTACAGTCTTTCAAGATTCTTCCCAGACCCTGTCGTTTGTCGACGATGCAACGACCGCGAGAGCAGCGAATTTGTTGAAAAATGCGACTTTATTCATTTTCCTGAGTTGTGCCTGAACTGGACTCATCAGCACCTCCACCGGGAATCAAACCCAGGTTACGCTAGAGCAGCATATAGTTGCAAGGCCACGATTGCCGTTGGTTCACGGAGCCGAGGTAACTTTTAAGGAAGGTCATTTTCCTATAACCTGATTGTAGATTATATCTATGATCTATTGAGTCTCGTAAATCTACTTATAAACTAATAGTAAGTAGTATATTCGATTGCCATAACAAATATGACTTTGCTTCATCCACAGTCCCATCACAGAATAGGATATGCTCTATGATCTAAGGTGACTGGTGGCAATCTGTTGTGGTGGTTTACATTTCGAGACCATATGCCGCACCACCACAACCCTAGTTCGAGTCCCGCTGGGGGTGATGATGAGTCCAGTTCGGCGGGGCCGAAACTGCCGTCCATTGCAGTATAGTAGAGTTAACATTTTGGGAAGCAAGACGATGTGAAAGTTAGTGGAAACAACGACTTTAACTATCAGTTCTTCATCAACTTAAACGAAATATGGTGAACATATCTTGTATATATAAAAAAAATTTTATTTTAAGTAACTCGCCTTTAAAGGAATCCTCTTAACGGCATCGTGGTAAAACCGCGTTGCTTGTTTCTTAGTCGAGATTTCAAAACATACACGCACACACACACACACACACGCAAACACCACTTTCGCGTTAGCAACCAAATCATCTCATCTCGTGTTAATGCTGCAAGCACCTCATCTAATAATAGTGGTATGAGTGTATGACAAATGACAATTAAATGGCTGGTGTTATTGTTAAAATACTATTTTTCAATGCCAGCCGCCTATAAGCAGGGCCGAGACTGATTGGGACCTGAAGCGCGTAAAATTTAATCATGCAGACATTGCAAGGCAGTAGGTCTGCCACAATCTTGCAAAGAGAAGTCATAAAATGCGCTTTTTCGGTATGTTCCGGAGATAATTTGTCTCCCATTTCTAATTCCGCGTCCTATTTAATGCCGCAATCAACCAAGTCAGGTAACGAAATTTCTGTTTGGTTTTGATTGAAAATGTAATTTCCAACCGGTTACAATCTATCCTCAGCCCAGAAACCATTTTCCCTTTGCTCTTTGCTGGAAGAGTTTTTTGATACTTTTACCAGCCCAGTCTCTTTTAAGGTTCGTTAAGATGCATTCCTCCGACTGGAAGACGACGGAGCGTCTTCGTGAGTTATCCAGCACAGCTTATCGGCTATCAACACTCCATTTATCATTGATATGGGCTTTTATGGGGTACACAAGTCGGCTGTGGTTGCAAACGATGTGCAAGGCTGCCATCGCAACCGAATGTTCCTTTAGTCGCGATATAAAATTGGGCCAAGATTTCCAGCTCCGTCAACTCTATGCTAGCTCTAAATATTGCTTTCCAGATGAAGCATGTGTCGAATAATCTAAGCAAGATGGATCGACAAACATGTAAGAAGCACACCTTGTTTGGGGAGGAATTAACTGTACCAAAAACATGTATGTCCGTAACGTTGTATACATATATTATTTAAGATATAGTTGCATATTCTTCCTATTTTTCTATTTATTCTAGCCTTTTACATAATGCTTCTCTTTCAGAGAAGGATAATCTCAAGCAAATTTGACAAATTTTAGTCTTGATAGAATAAAATTAAAAGCAATTAAAAAATATATTATACGAAATGGGATCCACAATTTAGGTAATAAAGGGTTTGATAGTTGAGGTATCGACAAGGGAATGAGTAAAATATCACACAAGGACAACAAATTATATTCCAATAAAGCTCCCATATGGAAAGGAGTTCAGTTTTGACATCACCTAAACCTTGTTGGCACCCTCAATTGGAGTGGAAAATGAATCATACAAGTCAAGTAGTAAGTATAATATTCCGCAACGCGTGTACGAATGGAAGACATAACTATGAAGCTAAGCTAGGCTTCTCCAATTTCACACCCGTATTGCCACTATTGTCGATAGAATTTAATTATATTCGTT